TATAATTTTGAGCTTTCATCTAGGTACTGGTTATTGAGGATAGATTATGTATGGTTTTTTATTAATTTATTTTTATAATTGTTATTTTTTTAAATATTAATCTTAGTATGTGAGATTTATATTTGAATAACTCCTACTATTAAATTACATGCTATGCTTAGTGATCTGAATTGAATATTAAAGAACAGCTTTCAATAGTTCAATTAGTATTTTTAATCTTCAATTCCAAATGCTCGCAGAATTTATTGAAATACGTGGCCCCGTTAGTGTCAGTGAATGACGTCACTGAGTAAGGTCATAGTTAGTAGATAAGGGTTCCTATTACCAATAGGATAGAGTTGAAATATGCAAAAGTATTAGGCTAACATATGCTTATTGTTTACGTACAGACGAAGTGTAAATGCAGTGTTGTAGTGAGTGCGACAAACTATAAGATAATTCTGAATCAGTCCGTTGATCTTATACGGATGTAGAGTGACAGGTGTGATTCATTTGACTCGAAAGACTTTGTTGATGATTCAATTGATATTAGTTAAAAGAATCCTCTGCTCCAGTAAGTGGACCAAACTTGGCCTCAGTCCATTTTGTACTCACGGTTGTTATCTCCTGGTTATTGTTATAATCTTTTTTTATATCCTGTTCGTCTAGTGCTATTTTATTTATCATTGTCTTCCTGTGCCTCAATTCTTCCTTAATTTAACTCGTCCCTTTTAAATGTATACTCCCTACTGCTTGGCGAGCTGTATTACCCGTTATTATTAGCTAAGACGTTGATTATTATTTTAGTTCTAGCGTGTGTTCAACATGGTAGTGTCATTAAATTTTGGTACGGATCTCACGATGGCTGGCCCACTGATACCTATCGCCGGTGTTTCTGAACACCGCATTAAGAGTTGTTCTGCCACCAGGTTCTATCCTATGCTTCACTGCAGAAATAATAACTCTATTCTGAGTATGTCTATCCACAGGTGTCTTCTAATGGAGCTCCTAATCAACGCTTGCTATAGTAGCAAAAGACCTGGGTACGTAACGAGCTACCAATCTCTCAATCTCGATATATATAAAATGAACCTACTTCGCGTTACTTTTGTCGCAACGTTCTGAATTGTACGATAAGTCGTT